AATAATTTGTTAAGCAGGGGCCTAGAGCACTGATTAAGTGCCTTGAATCCAAGAAGCTTGTATTTGCTTGCATTACAAATTTTTAAAAAATTAAGATGTGTAGAATATGGAAACTGAAATCAAAGGAAGCAACTCATTAATTCTGAAAAAAGAAATGTACTATGGTTTAATGCAATGTCCCTGGCAAGCCAGGTGCAGATATTAATTGGTCTAAGACCACTGCACAAAATAAACAGGGAGTAAGATTATGAAGAAATGTGAAGCAGAGAATAGATTTTCAACCATTATTTGCCAGATATACATTTGAACTATGAGTAGCACAAGTCATGTTTTCAGATGCACTGAGATGAGGTTTTCCAAGCTCTTCAAAACCACTTGATCTTAGTTAGAATTAGACTAAGTTGTCAAAGTATAACCAAGTACTTCCAGAATTTTACCTATCTTTGGCTTCTGCTTTTCTTTTTAAGAGCAGTATATTCCTTTACTACTTAGAATAATGTTTTGCAAATTGAAAATAGGCTTTTCTTATAATGTGAGACCATGAAGATGAAAATTAACTGTCTTGCCAACATACCTGCACTGGTTTTCTAAAAGACTTCTGAGCATTGCTCATGGTCTACATTTTAATACAAGACTTTCAGTGTTGTGATGGAAAAACAAAAGAAACCATGGCACCAAAAATTGTACATGTGAAAGGTTCACCCTGCTACAAGATTAAATGCATACAACTCACAATATTTGCTATTATGCAATTCTTACTTTTCATCATAAATGGATAATCAAAAATACGTATCCACATTAAAGAAGTTACACCTCAAACCTTTTACTGATATGAGGGCATTGGGACCACCTGCTTCCCCTCTTCACGTCTCCATGAACATTGAACCAAAGTTAATGGAGCAACCATGTTTATGTCTGTTGGGCACACTGTGCACAGAATATGCTCCAGCTAAAATGAGAAGGTAAATACCACAAACATATCAAAATATTTTTCATTGGGGTACATTTAGCATAGCCGTCTATTAAATATATACAACTTAAGTATCGAAATAACATTAGAGAAAGCAACACAGCATATTTTATATTACTTTTAATCTCCTGTTTCAGAGTTGCTAGGTCATCTTTTTATAGGAATAGATTAAAAATTTAGAGGAAGTTACTAGATTCTTAAAGGCCTTCCAAGTCCAATTAAATTGCCCTGGATATTTTTAGTACTAGAAAAAATGCTAAGGGAAGTAAACTATTGATTTCCCACGAATATTTCAATTGTAAAATATCAGTGTTATGTCCACTTAGTTAACATTATGAGATTTCTCAACATTAAAAAAACCAATTAAGCTTTGGATATAAATTCCTCTCAAGAACTCTGAGCAGTGTGCATTAACTATCCAATTATATTTATCAATATTATCAAAAGGCTAGATTCATATTAGAGTCTATGTAATCCAAACTATACAAAAATCCTGGAAACACATGTTGTATAGTTGTCTACTAAAAATGCCACTAACATTTAAATGTATTTATTATAAAAACTGCCCCTAGAGCAATCAAATTCATCAACGAAATTTACACTGAGATAATTTAATACTCAGATATGTACACTGCTTTTGTAATGCTGCTCTTAATCCTTCTATCAAATGCTTTATAATTTTGACCACATTAGTTAACAGAAAGACCATGCAGGTGAAACATCACTATAAAGTATTTGTATAATATAATAAACCCTTGAGCCTCAGTTTTCAGAGTGGATGCCTAAATTGTCAACCATCTCATAAGTGACTAACAGGTTTTCTTACTGTAAGCCCCTTGATTTGAGATCTAGAGTACTAAAATTCTTACCACCCACCTAGAATTTTCACTTTCTCAAACCTTCAATCTATTCAGCACCCCCCTTTTTCATGAAGAAACTGCCAGTTTCATAGAACAAGTTATTGCTTTGAAGATTTATACTGCAAACTAATCAGTCAATATTGCTCACACAGTTTTTGGTATATTTATGTTATTATTAGATGAATAATTTGCAGTTCTTCAACTCAAGAACAAGATTATTAATGTGCATACAAATTATTTATGCTACCATAACAGGCAAAACATAAAACATTAACGGCATCATTAATTTTCTAAAATTTTAAACTAAAAGGCGATTTAATTTCAGATATCACACTGTCGCAACAGTTTACTTCAAGGTGCATTCACACACACACAAATGAACAAGCACGCCCTAGATAAACAGACTGATTATCCAACGGAATTTGATCAAAGTAACTGTTTCCAGGGTTGACGAATATATATACTATTTAAATGACAGGAAATTTAAGACATTCCATTCTAAGGGGTCCCTAGAACTTGCAACCAAATCAGAATGCATGTGAATTTGGGGAGCAATGGAGGATAGAAATACCGAACTCTGTTTAAGATTTCAAGACAAACTTTCGAGTATACTCAAAGTAGGGCTGGGCAAATGTGGAGGGGATAGAATGTTTCCAGGTGCCAGAAGTAATATAATGTCTGATTATATTTTAAGGTTGGGAGGGGCTCTGGGGAGAGATGTTGGGGGACCTTTGACTGATATGGGGGTAAAAAAACTATCCCAAAATTAACCATCTGCTTTAAAAGTTGGAGAAGTCTCAATGCCACTCTTAACTCTGCTATGGATTCATAACTACAATACTGAACACCATAACATGTCTTAACACATGCACTGGGGCATGGAGAGATTTAGAAAAATTTGTAAATAATCATATATAACAGAAAGTATGTTGCAACAAATGAATGTTGCTTTATTCGATGAAAAATTTGCTTTGCCAAATAGGCATCATGCAGATTTTAAATAGCTACTTTTATTAACAGAATCTGCAAACCCCATGTCTTTCCTCCACCAATTGTTAAAGCCTAATGCAGGAAACTACCAGAGAACAATCAGTTCACCTCTTTTTGTTTACCCTCTGCCATTTATGCAGGCTATTTTTGTTATGTGGAATCTAATGCACTCACACAGCTTTCAGAATATGTTTACTGAAAAGCATGCACCATAGAAGATCCTGTTTAGAACCCCATATTCTAAGCAGATCTCCATTCTAGAGCATTCCTAGCAGTTAGCTAGCTGTCTAGCCTCTTTTGAAGATATCCAGAGGACACCTCACCCACCTATCTAGGCCACTGGTTCCATTGTCAACTGCTCTCAACATCAAGAAATTCCTTCAAATGTCCAATCAATACCTACCTTCCTGTAAGTTAAAACTATTGGATCTTGTTCTACCATCTGAGGTAGCAAAAAAACAAGCCTGCACCTTTCTCTCTGTAGCAACTCTCAAGATATTTAAAGAAGGCAATCACCTTTAATTCACACTGCCTTCTCTTGTTAATGTATTTCTTAAATTACTTGTGAACACTTACATCTCATTCTTTTTTGTATTAAGACACTCTGCCCCTCTCTTTCTTTTACTCCGTGTTAAATTATTTGGCAACAGCATACATGGCTTTCTTATTACAAGAAATTCTGAGACCCTGTGATTGAGTCTGAGATGCAAATGACATGTATGGTAACATGATTGGAACAGGTCAGAAAAACTATCACTATGAACTTTGAATTTCATATACAGAAAAAGTAACTGAAGTGATAGATTTCTCCCATCTCCATTCCACTTCTTCATAGGTTTGGATGTTCAAATGGGAGGGGGAAAAAACATCAAAAGGAATGTGTATTTGTACCCGAAACTACAGCATAAGTAGTAGAGAGGAAGATAATTAGCTCTAAGATCTTAAGATGTTTAGGCTTGTGCTTTCTTTAGTTTTAAGATGGAGTTGCAAGTGGGAACCAGCCAAGAGGAAAGCCAAATAAAAATTAGGTATATTGAGCTGGTGCGAGTTTCAAGCATTTGCATTTTGATTGGTTATGTGATGTCTGAAAGTAGGGACCTAAAAGATTTAGCAGTAACTTTAATGCCATTCGTATGTAAGATCAAAATAATTTAATTTCAAATCTTATCTTAATCTACACAGAACACTAACTCTTTGATCAATTCTATCCCACAAATGAGAGGCTTCATTTTAGGCATCCACATTTTTGAAAACTTCAGCAAAAAGTTTCAGGTCCTCGAGGGTATAGGGCTCATAGCAGGGGTGAGAACTTACCAAGCACAAAGATTTTATTAGAAGAATTAAACTGCAAGACCATTTGTTGAACAACTTTAAAAATGCATATGGATGTAAGATATCTCTCTGTTGAGTTTAAATATTAGCCGATTCATTAAATGGAAACCAAAGGGTTAAACAAACAGTCAACTCTTATTGCACTGAACTAAAATATAGATTATACTTCAGACTAAAATACAAAACACTATTTAAATAATAAAAGTAGTTGCAAGAAAAAGTGCTAATGTCACTTTATTATTCTTATAAGCCATATAGCTTACACTCAACAGTTCTAGTGAACAGGGCATCCAAATGTCCATGCAGTATGCTGTCATTGTTTATGAGATTTTCTGAATGTTTGTAGGACATAAAACCTTCAAAGAAAAAGTTAAAAGTACAAGAATATAACAGAACTACTCAAAACTACTAGACATGCATATCTAAAATGATACTTTGAAATAAGTAGTCTGTCATACTTTAAAGACAGACTTTAGCACTAAAAGCTTTACAGCTTATTTAGAAATGTGAATTAATCGTATTAACTAAAAAGTAAATTCAGTGGTTCATGTGTGATAAAACACATATACCACGCAAGGCTCCAATCTCATGTACACTTACATTGGAATAAATTAGACTGAATGCAGTGGGACTTGCTTCTCAATAATCATGCATGTTACTATAACATAAACATGTAAAAATATAAGACATGTCAAAGATATTGCATTTAGTATAATTCGACATGTCTAATTGAAATTCTCAGTAAGTTGCCCACTGCTTTGTCTTTTCTCAGTTAGTTAATACTGGAGTATTTTCCTCTATGTTAGTGAACTACACATCTATCAAAAATAGCCCCAAACCTTACTTACTCTATTTGAGCTCCATGAGCCACAAGGGCACTTATCGATTCCATACTACCAGACCGGGCTGCTTTGTGAATGGGTGTTTCACCAACATAATCCTGGTGGGGGGGAAACAACAGTTCAATATCAAGAATGTATGACTTTCAAGAAGGATTCTTATACAAATCTGCAAATAATTATTTGGAAGGGAGAAAACTGGACACTTAAAATCAACTGCTGGTTAACTGTGTTACAACACCAACGATTGTAAAAACACTAAGGATCTATCACGTACTTGTTCTTCTCAAACTGAGACTGGACATGCTCTCTTCCATTTCTGTAACTAGGATAGATATATTGTTTCTAAAGTGAACTTGTCACCCACTTTTTTATGCTAGGACAGCACATTGTTTCAAGTCAACAGTAAGGGAGGGAAATTGCAAAGCAGAGTTGGGGGCAGAAGTCTGAATGTTTGACTGAGTATCATTACACATAGTTTCATGTTTGTATTGAAAGTTTTAGAGGAAGAAATGGTCAACATTGATACCTGTTTGTTTATGTTGGCTCCTGATTGAATTAACCAGGTGAGGCACTGAGGATGCCCTCCAAAGGCAGCAATATGGGCAGGTGTTTGGCCAAAACGTGTTGTACAGGCATTTACAGAAGCTCCTGCTCTCACTAACTGCATCAAACAGTCCAGCTTTAAAAGGAAACAAGAAACGGAGAAAAACACATATTTAATTGGTTATCATCTTTAACCTATTTTTAGTGGAACATTTTTTAAAATGCATGTATTTTATATCCATGACAGAAAATATTTCATATGTGATTTTTATTTTATTGCTCCTCTGAATTTCCAATTTTATTGTTGAAAAAAAAAAAACCCAAAAGACAAGAAAAATAACCTCAACACTCCTACTCCCATCCCTATTTTTCCAGGTGGTCACACTTCTTATTTTAAATTATTTTTTGTACAAATGCAAAGGAGGTAAAGAATGGTAAGTGCATAACATTGCAAATCTGTTTTCTAAGGCAAAGCATGATTCGTCTGTATTTGGACTGGGGTAATCCCAATAGTCATTTGAAAGCTCCCATCCTGCAAGAATACATTTACAATATAATATTTTAAACTTGTTCATGAACCTAACTATTTGAAGCCTAAATGCTTTTAGTGTTAAATAGTGTAATGACACTTAAAATAAAATATTAAAAAGATAAGTCAACAGCAATTCAATATCTCTTGTCTCTTGTATCTCTTGTCAATAAGATATCAAGGGTTGCTAGACAACATTCATGTCATGATGGCATGCCACACTGTATCATTGAATGCTCTCTTAATGGCGTTTAATGGTGGTAATGCCGTAATCTTAGAATCAATTCCACGTCAAGTGCGGTAAAAGCATAATGGAATGGTTTGAGAATCTGCTGTCTGGGTCTAATTCCAAAAATATTGTGTGCTGGAGTGCACTTCTAATCAACAATACATCTGGTTTTTTAGCTTAGAAGACAATTTTTTAAAAGGGCAACATCTGGAGGAGCACATGGCTCCCACCCAACAGGCATGGGAAAATTAGCGAGACAAGAACCTACACATTTTTTCATAGCATAAACAAACTTCACTATGGTTGTGCTAGATTTCACAGTTGTGAACAACAAAAGCACCATAACCTACACATACCAATTGTGCTACCAACAATTAGTTCCCCAACCACCAATTCAAAACTGTGTGTGTGAACTTGTGGAACCACTATCTGCACTTACACAACTTCGGAGAAAGTAAAACTACATGTGAAACTGTTCTTCTTTTGCTAGCATACAGCCTCAAACCAGATTCTGGCTATAAGGTCAAAAGGACTGTTTCGGAAGTGGCTTAAATCAACCATCTCCTCATAAATTAAGGAACAGCCACATGTTTAGTCTATTACTCCAGAGATATGTCATATCCTTCATTGACAAGGGATGGGAATTATGTGCCTCCCTAGATGTTGCCAGACTACAACTCTCACAAACCCCAAATCATTTCAGAAGGATTGCTGGATTCCCGTTTTGATCAACTGTGCTCCTTTTGCATTTCCACTCTATCCTGCCCAAAATACAGTGGCCAGCACACATTATAGAACTTAACAGAAATCTTAACAAAATATTACTTGCATCTTCTCGTACTTAAACACATCAAATGTATCCAGAATAAAGGTAAAATGTATATTATTTATTATATTATTATAACTTTATTTGTATATCACTATTATAAGTTTCCAAAAATGATCCCAAAGAGAAAACATAATATGACAATACCTTGTATGCCTGCACATACTGCTGAAATCACTGCATACTTATTTTTGCTGTCCTAATTATATCCTGAGATTCACCATCAGGCAAGAAAAAAGATGGGAGAATGAGAGAAATGGAAACATGACAAGAATGGGAAAAAGTACACAGGTGTACTAGTTCAGGGGCAGAAGTTTGAGTTGGCTTACAATTACAGTTTTTGCTCTTCACTACCTTAATTTACATTATGTGAAAATCTAAGGAAAAAATGGAGAAAAGGGAGGGGGCAGACTGTCATCTTTCCTCCCAAAGGAAATTTTTGCTACTCTTTTGTTTATATGGTTTACATATCCATGAAAATATTTCTAACATCTGGATTTAAAACATCTAGTTAACTGATTTTCAGTACATTATGGAAGATAACAAAATATCTCCCCTTTAATTATAATGACATTTCTGGATGAAATATTAATAAACAAATAAATTCAGAAGAAAATTATGCACAGAATCCACTAAAATCCTTTCACTTAACAGAATATCTTTCTACTTCCAATGGGAAGGAGGGTTATTTTCCTTCCCACTCAAAATCAGCTCTAAGGGATTGAAGAACCTCCAGGGTAGATCAGAGGCATGGAGAGGGGAAACAGTGTGCTCAAGTTTGAATTCTACCCAAGAAATTTAAAATTTCCAAAAATTTCCCAACCCGCCACACATCCACACGTTTGTAACAGACAAGGGGAAGAATGAATGATGATCTCTTCTCATAAAGCAATTCTCCTATCAAGTGTATTGTTGCCGAGCACAAGCAGACAGCTGTTTCCCATTTGAACACTCCCTCCTGGAACCTAACACCTTTGTTGCCATAACAGACAAATAAAAATGAAATGAAATCTGCAGTTGTGTACATATAAATGCCAAACAGACAGCTATTCATGTTTAGAACAAAGTGACCAAAATCTGAAGGGAAAAAGGTTCAAGACTATATTTTAATTTGAAGTCACCTCCATACAATTTTATGTGTACTACCAGGACTGAATAATGAAGGGGAGAAAGAAGCAGTTGGAAGGGCACTGTTTACTCTGTTGGTTCACATAGCACTTGCACATTTTAAAGTTATACTGAAGATACACAGGATCTCTGACGATGGAACCTATTGACAAAACATTTTATTGTTGTTGCAATTGTGACCAGTCAAGTAATTTTCAACTTACAACCTTAAAGCAGCTCTAACGCAAGGGTTTTTTTGGCAAAATCTGAACAGAGTGGATTTGTTTTTGCCTTCCTCTGAGACTAAAAAAGTATGATTTGCCCAAAGTCAACCCAATGGGTTTCCATGGTTGAAGCATAGATTCAAATTCTGGTCTCCAGAATTGTATGCGCCACTCAAATCTAGCTCTGTATTGCTTGAGGAAAAGGAAGAAGTAGATCAATTATGATTCAGAATTCAAGACCATTACTTAATACTACTTGCCCCAACCATAATTCAGGTTAACTGTAGAAGGCGGCACATTTATGCCTGATATCCAATCTAGTCTGTTTGTAAATAAATAAATAAATAAATAAATAAATATATGGAGACAGTGCCCCGGGCCATCCCTTATTTTACAACCAGGCAAAAAGTGCACATACAAAACACTACACGAGCACTATAGACGTATCTACTAGTAAATCTATATCCATGATGATATAGCTAACCTAGGGAGATAACAAAGATTTATATACACCCAGTAGTAGATAATGTGTCTTGTTAATGGGAAAAGCATACTTGCGTACATTTTCATTCTCAAAGATAAGAAAGAAAAGATGCAACCAAATAGAGGGAGATAAAACACTGGAGGGAGGTATGGTTCCTCCCTCCTATGCACATTTTCTCCTTGATTGAGGAGGGAAGTAGGAACAATTTAGCCTTTGGGACCTAATACTATAAGCCTTATGCTCTTTCTTATAGTCTCCTGGACGTGACAGGGAAGGGATGCACACACCAAAGTAGGCAGCCCTAATCCTTTAAACACAATGCTGCAAAGTCTAGAAAGATTCCAGGAGCCTAAGGGAGAAAATAAACCCCAAATTGAAAAAGAAGGTTTTTTTCTGAGTGACCACTGGAATAGGAGGGCTCCCTCCTGACTTCATGTTCCCATTTGTAATTTTCTCAAGCAGTTCAGAACTTCAATAAGACCCAGGAAAAAGGTTGCCACTTATTAACTGACAGCAAGATGATCACATAGCCTCCTTTAGAGGTCCATTTCAGATCTGAAAAGGTATGAAAAATGTATGTATATTATATTTTATTCTACTAGTCCACTCTACAGAAGGCAGAAAATCAGGAAGAATGATTTATGAGGAAATCCTTTCATTTTCTAAATATAACATTGTGAAGTGGGCCAAGGCACTTGAGGATTAAAACATATACCAGGAAATTTATAAATAGAGGTTGTGCACATCTGCAGATAGATAATAGGATTTCCCCAATTTGAAAATACTTTCTTCTGTTACTTGGAAGCAAATTCCATAAACTGGTACTATACAGCCAAAGATATATCTGTAAATGACTAAAACACAAAATATGGATTGTGGTGTCTGGAAACTTATCTGCCAGCATTTTTGCCTGCTGGTTATAGAGACCCTGAATATCCTATATCTAGAATGGAATAAATGAATATACATTGTACACAAAATCCATCTGACGTATGGAATGAAGGTCATTTTATACACAATGTCCTTGTTTGTGTACAGTAAACCATCAGAAAACAAAGGGGCCAAGATCTCACTTCCCATGAGGATGGTCTGAAATATTTTGGATTATTCCAGACAAGTGATGCTCAACTTTACATTAACCAGGCATATACAGGCGTTTGGGGAAATACAGAGTGTCCCTAAGTCTCTATACATAGGAAAAATTAGCAAATTTATATTATATTATACTTTTTAAATAGTTTACTTTGTGTGTGTGTGTGTGTGTGTGGAAAGCGGTGGCCAACATATGTGATGGATATTTTGTCATCAAAGGTACATTTAGCCACAATATCCTATGTCTGGAAACAGAATGGGGGACGCCTGGCTATGTTTGAAAAAGATGTTGGCGTCATTGTGGACAACAAATTAAACATAAGCCAACAATGTCATGCGGTGGCTAAAAAGGCCAATGGGATTTTGGCCTGTATAAATAGGAGTGTAGTGTCTAAATTCAGGGAAGTCATGTTACTCCTCTATTCTGCCTTGGTCAGACCACACCTGGAATCACACTGTGTCCAATTCTGGGCATCACAATTGAAGGGAGATGTTGACAAGCTGGAATGTGTCCACAAGAAGGCAACTAAAATGATTAAGGGTCTGGAGAACATGCCCTATGAGGAGCGGCTTAAAGACCTGGGCATGTTTAGCCTGCAGAAGAGAAGGCTGAGAGGAGACATGAGGGGGGCCATGTGTCAAGAGGTGAGGGGAAATCATAGGGAGGAGGGAGCAGGGTTGTTTTCTGTTACTCTGGAGACAACACAATGGTTTCAAACTACAGGAAAGGAGACTCCACCTGAACATTTGGGAGAACTTCCTAACTTTGCGAGCTGCAGTGGAACTCTTTGCCCCGGAGTGTATTGTAGGCACCTTCTTTGAAGGCTTTTAAACAGAGGCTTGGATGGCCATCTGTCAGGGGTGCTCTGAAGGCGATTTTCCTGCATCTTGGCAGGGGGGTTGACTGGATGGCCCGCATGGTCTCTTCCAACTCTATGATTCTGTGGAGAGTCTGGAGATACCCTGTACAAATCCTCTACTCCTGTGTTTTGATCGTTGACGTGCCCTTCCTTCCTTAGTACAGGCAGTTATGAACCAAGTACAGTAGGTTCTGTAGGTTTGTTCTAAAGCTGAATTTGTATGCAAGTCTGAACAGGATCATTGTAAGTGTAACTCCAGCTACACCGGCCCTTCCACAGTCACATAACCTAGAATATCGAGGCAGGTAATCCACAATATCTTTGAACTGGATTATCTGAGTCCACATGAGTCCATATAATCCAGTTCAATGTGGGTGTTATACAGTTGTGTGGGAGGGAGAGGGAGGGAAGGAGAGCGAGCTTGGGTACCATAGGGGAGGGTGAACACCCCTGTGGTGTTTGTTTCGCTGTCTGTGCCCGTTTGGAAGATTTCACCTCACTTCCTGCCCCTGTGAGAACTGGATTTTGAAAATGTTGGCTTGTTGTGGAAACAAGGATTGGTGCTACAGCTTCAGTGGAGCCGCCTTTTCCCCGTGATAACAATCCTTCCAGTATATTTCTCACTCCCTGTTGCCTCACCCCCCCCGTTCTTAACTAGGAGTTGTTTGTTTGTAACTCGGGGCCTCCCTCTTGTGTCTCCCCTCCCCGAGGAAATGGCTCGAGCCCGGCCTGGAGAGAAAATGGCAGCGAGGCATGGCGAAGGGAAGGCGCGAGGCCTGGCGCGCGCCAAGATGGCGGCGGGGGCGGCGGGCGGGTGCCGGCGGCGGGTCGGGGCCTACCTTGCCGAAGTGGGCGGCCCAGTGGACGGGCGTCCAGCCGTAGAAGGAGTCCTCGGCCGCCAGGGAGTCTCGGGAGGCGCCCTGGAGGAGCAGGGCGCGCAAGGCCGGCAGGTCCCCGTCGCGGCAGGCGCGGTGCAGCGGGAAGCGCAGGCTGAGCAGCTCCTCGCTCGAGAAGCCCGCCTCGGCGCCGCAGCTCACGGACATGATGGTGGTGGCCTTGGGCGGGCGAGGGAGCCGGAGGGAAAGGCGACAACCGCAAGCGAGCCGCCGCTGGCTGGCTAACTGACTGGCTCTGCCTCCCTCAGCCGCCGAGCACAAAGAGACCGGGGCGGGACTGGCAGAGGCCTGGCTCCTCCCCGGCGAGAGGCGGGCCTCAGAGGAAGAGGAGGCGGCGGCGTGGATTCACTTTTCCGTTGAGGGAGCCACCATTAGAACAAACCCGCCCCCGCACACCAGCACTCACAACAACGGTGACTGAGTGAAAAAGACTGGCACTGGAGCTTTTTAAAAACCAACACTAGTAAGATTATTTCCATCCTCCCGTTGTAAATCAATGGGTAGACGCAGGGAATGCCGTGGATGTGGCCTATCTGGAGCCTGCTTGCGCCATCAACATTTAACATTTACACAAATGACCAGCCACTGCCAGAAGGGACAAGGAGTTTCATCTATGCTGAGGATCGCGCCATCACCATTCAAGTAGGGAGCTTTGAAATGGTTGAACAGAAGCTTCCCAAAGCATTTGGTGCTCTTACATGCGCCAACAATGTGATGCGACGGCAAAAAAAGCCAATGGGATTTTGGCCTGCATCAATAGGAGCAATTTCAACAGAAAGGAGGAAACATTAAAAATGAACAAAATCTGGCTACCAGTATTTAAAAAAACTCTAACATTACAACAGCAAAACAACAAGGGAAACAATCTGGGACATCTAATCACTTCTCAACAAAAGATTGCTCCGGGCACTAACAAGCCACACCAAACAACAGCCAGGCCATCAAATGCTAATCAAGGTGGTCAGCTGAAACATTCACACCTAGCTCCAGCAGACAAGAGTCCTTTGTCCCACCCTGGTCATTCCACAGATATATAAACCCATTGTCCTAATTCCAACAGACCTCATTACCTCTGAGGATGCTTGCCAGAAGCAAGCATCCTCAGGAGAGAATGCCTCTAGAACATGGCCATATAGCCCAAAAAAACCTACAACAACCCAATAGGAGCCTAGTGTCTAGATCCAGGGAAGTCATGCTACCCCTCTATTCTGCCTTGGTTAGACCACACCTGGAATATTGTGTCCAATTCTGAGCACCACAATTGGAAAGAGATATTGAATGTGTCCAGAGGAGGACGACTAAAATGATCAAAGGTCTAGAGAACAAGCCCTGTGAGGAGTGGCTTCAAGAGCTGGGCATGTTTAGCCTGAAGAAGAGAAGACTGAGAGGAGACATATCCATGTATATACATGAGAGGAAGTCATAGGGGGGAGGGAGCAGGTTTGTTTTCTGCTGGCCTGAAGACTAGGACATGGAACAATGGCTTCAAACTACAAGAAAGGAGATTCGATCTGAACATTAAGAAGAACTTCCTGACTGTGAGAGCTGTTCAGCAATGGAACTCTCTGTCCCAGAGTATGGTGGAGGCTTCTTCTCTGGAAGCTTTTAAACAGAAGCTGGATGGCCATGTGCTTTGAATGCAATTTTCCTGCTTCTTGGCAGGGGGTTGGACTGGATGGCCCATGAGGTCTCTTCCAACTCTAGGATTCTATGATTCTATTACTGTGGAGGATCTCCCTCTGTCAGCTCCAACACCCCATGCGGGGACATGAGAGAAGCCTCTGACAAGGATGGTAAAACATCAAAATGCAGTCATCCCACAGTGATCTGAAGAAAAAGCTGCCCTGTTATCCTGTGCCTCCGACGACAACAACAACAGGGGAAAGGGAGCAAATTTATTTATTTATTTATTTATTTCACGCACTTCTACCCCGCCCTTCTCAACCCTCGAGGGGGGACTCAGGGCGGCTTACAAAAAGGCACAATTCTATGCCAACACAGACAATAAGATAAAAACATATATAACAGCAATTATAAACAGTTAAAACAATCCGTTATATATCACAATCAATAAAACCAATCCTATGCTCAACGTTTGCCAGCTCAGAGTCCGTAAGTTCATTTCACACTGTCAAATCCTATCAATTCTGGTCGACCTTGTCCTTTGTCTATCTGCCAGATTACCCAAAAGCCTGGTCCCATATCCACATTTTTAATTTCCTTCTAAAAGAGAGGAGGGATGTCAATGACCTAATTTCCCCAGGGAGTGAATTCCACAGGTGGGGGCCACCACCGAGAAGGCCCTGCTCCTCGTCCCCACCAATCTCACTTGTGATAGAGGTGGGGCCGAGAGCAGGGCCTCCCCAGAAGATCTTAAAATTCCGAGGTGGGACGTAGAGGGAGATGCATTCGGACAGATACGCTGGGCCGGAACCATATAGGGTTTTGTAGGTCAAAACCAGCACTTTGAATTGTGCTCAGAACTGGATCGGCAGCCAGTGGAGTTGACATAACAGAGGGGTGGTATGCTCCCTGTATGACGCTCCGGTGAGTAATCTGGCTGCCGCCCGCTGGACTAATTGAAGTTTCCGAACAGTCTTCAAAGGCAACCCCACGTAGAGTGCATTGCAGTAATCTATTCGGGATGTAACCAGAAGGGAGCAAAAAAAATCCGGGCATCCCCTGGGCAACGTCCTTGCAGACGGGCAATCTCACACCAGAAACAGTTTCTCAAGTCGCTCCTGACATGAAAAAAACAAAACAAAACCCTGCTATTACAGGAAAAATCAGATGACTCCTAATCCATCTAAAACACAGAAGTGTGCTTTTCATTTTAAGAAAAGACAAGCATCTCGATCTTTGAGAATTACCTGGGAAGGAATCCCACTGGAGAATTGCAGCACACCCAAATACCTGGGAGTTTCCCTGGACTGTTCTCTGACCTATAAGAAGCACTGCCTGAATACCAAGCAAAAAGTGAGCGCTAGAAACAATATCATACAAAAGCTGACTGGCACAATCTGGGGATCACAACCAGATACAGTGAAGACATCTGTCCTTGTGCTTTGCTGCTCTCCTGCTGAGTATGCATGCCCAGTGTGGAACACATCTCACCACACTAAAACAGTGGATGTGGCTCTCAATGAGACATAGCACATTATCACAGGATGTCTATGCCCCACACCACTAGAGAAATCATACTGTTTAGCTGGAATTGCACCACCTCATATCCGCAGGGACATAGCAGCCAGCAATGAAAGGACCAAGACAGTGACATCTCTGGCCCATCTCCTGTTCAGATATCAGCCAGCACACCAATGCCTTAAATCAAGAAATAATTTTCTAAGATCTACAGAGATACTCGCAGGAACACCTAGCGTAGAAGGGGCCTCAGAGCCTTTCCAGACAGGCCCTATATACCAAGATCCGATCCCAGGTTTTCTGTTTATCCCAGATTATCTTGCAGTGCGGACTCATATAATCCAGTTTTAAGCAGACAACCTAAGATCAGATCCTGGGATATAGGGCCTGTCTGGAAGGACCCACAGGGTTTTGCTCCACTTTGCCTCTCAGCAAAGAATGTATAGACTTACCATTCTTACCATTTGAAGATATGATATCACTTGTTAAGAAACATGTACCTATCCTTCTAATTCAAAATAATTCGTTATATCTAAGAATTCAAAAGTATAGCTATAATGTTCCTTCCAAGTGAAAGGTTATACAGCTGACTGCTGTATGTATAGTTAAAAAAATTACCTTGAGAACAGCAGCATTGAGCAGGATTTGATCTCAGCACCTAGTCAATACTTCCTCTTTTCTGCTTAGAATTTACATTAGAGACAAAATCTGTTAGATCCAACTTTAAAAGTAATGTAAAAGTTATCTGTCACAGGTAGTTATGGAATAAAACAGGGTTTTAGGGTTACGATCCCTATGACAAATCATAGCAATCAAGTCTCTTTCTTAAAAGCTAAGTTATGCATGGTTCAAAAACAGAGGGAGGAATTACCTTTTCTTCACTGAAGTTCAAATTATCCTGTCTGGGAGTTTCTTGTCCTGATCTGTGAAAAATAACCTCCAAACATCCCAGTCTGTTTCCAGCCCCAAACCAGGAATCCCATAAAATAAACAGGTGATTAAATTTCTATGTAGAGTAAGAGGAATGTAATGGTACTTACTGACATGATGTCTGTGGCTGATTGAGAATAAATATCAGGTTGTTAGAACAAAACAAGTATTTACAACATAGAAAAGGAAATTCTCCCACAAAAACATTCTCACTTCATAGGGAAAGAGTAAAAAGGTGGCCCACCTGTATCTTTGGTCATTGAAATGGCAACTTCCTGGATTCCTTTACAGATCTAGAAAAATCAATCCCAAAATACCAATGTTTCCCCAGCCCTGCCCAGTTCCCCCAAATAAAACCAGTAGAAATCCAGACAGATGAGGCATCAACAAGATAGGAGTGCATCTGAAATAATGAGAACTGTGCCGCCACTTTGACCAAAGGCCCCAGAACTAGTCACAAAAATAACAAAACATCTGTTATTTGATTGCACAAACCCACCCGTCCAAGCTCAGAATTGTGCACTACTCAGACCACTGACGGTTGTTAGATGGCTGTTATATATTGTATTATGTATGGTTGTTTTAAAACTGTTGGAATTGTTTTTATGAATTGTATTGTGTCATATTTTAACTATGTCGAATCTCAGACTTGTCCCCATGTAAGCCGCCCCGAGTCCCTCCAGGGAGGTGGAGACTACAAAAATAAAGTTATTATAATATTATTATTATTTCTTAAAAATCAAGGCAGCACCTTAATCCTATTCTAACCCAAACAAAATGTTAACTGCAGGGAAGGTTTTAAATTCAAACATTATTCATGTAATATTCTAAAAGAAAGGACATAACAAAACCAAGGGAGAACTGAACACCCCTTCTATCCCAATGGACCCAAATAGCCATTGTTGTGACATGTGTCAAAATAACTCACTGCGCAGATCTTCAACTCAGGAATGCCAAAGGTGGCCAAAGGAGATTCATGTCAGTTTCACAGGCTCCTTGGTTTGCTTAGAAAAAATTTACTTTGGCTTTGCCAGATGTCCCAATTGTTCCTCTCTTCACCTTTTTGGAGATATATTTCAAGTTCCTTTGTCTACTGTTCCCTCAATCTCTCTCTCTCATCCTGCCCAAAGCTCTGATAATGGAAGGAGTGAGAAAAACCAGTATGGAACCAGTGGGACAGTCTCACTTACCGGAATGGGCCAGATCTTTTCGCCAG